TAAATTAGTAGCATTCAAATTTGATACACAATTGTTAGAATCTATATTTCCATTCCAGATCATATCCCTCCTTCAATTTTGCTCATTCAAAAAACTTATAATATTCTTAGCTAACATTGGTGTTCCTGCTCTATTGAGATGGATACCATATGGATTAATATGTTTTGCTTGGATATTTGCATGGGTTATATGACCCCATTTGTTCTTCTTACAATTAGTTAAAAGAACAGCATTTACCTCAGCCACTTTTCTTCTGTTTTCTGGTGTGTCCGTCCTTGTGATCAGCTCAGATATGACCACTTTGGTGTTGGGACTTTGGTTCTGGATAATATTACCAATTTCAACGACTCCTTTCACAATTTCTTTCGCATTTTTCTGTGCCATATCGTTAGTGCCGACGTGTAGAATCACTGTATCAGGATTTTTAGCGAGACAGGGTCTGATATGATGTTTCATGGCATCACAGTTCGCACCACTGTAAGATTCCGTAGAGATTTTCAGAGCTTTCTTAGCTACTGATCTTCGTAGTCGTCCTTTGTCGAGGTGTTTGATCATTGAATCTCCCACAACAATTACAGTTTCATGGTCTGTTGTGGGGTCATCAGATTTACGTTCACCTGACTTTTTCTTTCTCGGATGATTTTCCTTCTTACTTTCCGTTTGGGCTGATTTTGTTGTTTCTTGGTCGCTTGTCGCTTCGTCGTTCAGTATGGAATATCTGTTGGGATTTTCTACCACAAAGCAGTCACGGTCATTACCCTCAGCTCGAGCTCTCGATGCAGCGCCCTCTTTAACTCGTGTCCAGTCGTTTTCTTTAAAAACTATTGAAGGTTGATCATTTGTACTTTCTTCTTCTGGGTTGTTGTTTTTCGAAGGACTTTGGCGATAATCATCATGTAGGAGGCTTATCGCAGTTATCAGGCTCGCTTTCTCGTCTTCTAATGTCTTAATTTTTGTATTCAAATCAGATACAATATAAGCAAAGTTATTCATGCGTTCAGTATTTTCGGCGTTTTCCTTTTGGATATTTTTATTTTCACGTCTGATATCTTCGTTTTCTTCGCGAAGTTTGTATAATTCAAAACGCTCGTTTTCTGACATTAGATGGGATGAAGCTAGAATGTTAGATATAGAAGCCTTATTTTCGTTGGTATTTAATTTAAGCTGTTCGATTTGAATCTTAATCTCATTAACCGCTTCGATGATCGCCTCGCTATACGGATGTTCAGCTTGGTCGTTCTTCGATTTTCCTTGTTCTGAATTTTTCTGTATTTCGTCGTGTATTTTCCCTACAATCTCTTGTGATCTGTTTCCCTGTATCATTAAGGTCTTTTTTTCTTGGTACCACTTGATTTTAACAATCTCATTCTCTGTAATGTCTAGTTCTTTTTCGTTTGTGAATGCTTTAGTCTCGTTGCCTGGGGAAGTCCATTTACCAGATAGTTTCAGCTCGTTCGCGACATAGGATTTTAGTGCTTCTAGGCTGCCGCTCCACATTAGCTTGGAGTCTTTAAATGTGAAGTAGTTAGACATGGTGTTTCAAAATAAAATAGAATGTGTTCGGTTGCTTGTTGTATCTACAACTGCAGGACACAGTTCCTATTCTGCGTTTTGGCTAAATTAATGACAACAAGACGCTCTATTGAGCGTTAGTCGCTGGGGCTATTGCATATTACGCTGCATGCGATTGAGATTAAGACTGCTATTTGTTTGTTAAGCTTATGTGTTCATATAATAAAATTGTTTTTATCAAAAATTGGATTCATAGAAAAATTAAAACAAAGTTCATCAAACAAGTCCCCGGACTACAGACGATAAACAAATTTGTCTAAGTTTGGTTATATCCAATTCACAACTTTACATAAGTCACATCCCTTAAGGCTGCATTCCGGTTACGCGTTTTTCATATGTTGTACGTACACGCACGTAAAAGTTGAATTCGCTTTACATCCTACTTATGAAATAACTAAATTTATAAAAGGACAGCATTCAGTTTTGTGTATGATTTAATGTGTATTTGTTAAGGTTATTTGCACTTATATGAAATTTTAAGCGAATTCAACTTTTACGTGCATGTACGCACCTATGAAAAACGCGTAACTGGAATGCAGCCTTAACTATCATTGTTCTAGTGTACTGAAGCATAGAGATAAGAGTAGAACAAAGATAACTAAGCTTTAGAATTATCTAGCTACATGAATGAATGAATGACTTTTATAGTGTATAGGGCTTATCAAATGCTTAGTTACCTCTGTTCTATTCTATGTGTACATACTGCAAGAACACTAACTAGGCATGAATATTTAAAGTTGTGAATTGCATAGCAACAATGTAACTAACTTTGCCAAATTTATCTATTATACAAATTAATATGTTCTGTGTGTTTGAATTGTACAATACCTATTGTGAGATAACAGCTGTCCTGAGAGCTTTTAAAATATCATTTGCCAGCAAGGCAACAAGCTCTATTAAACCCTTGTCCCATTAAGCAGATTCTATTTACATCCAAATAAACAGCAACTTGCGAATATTATTGTTGCAATTTACGAAGTTCCAACTTTGTGAAAATTGTGAACTTTTGTCGTCTATTTCAGGCTTCCAGCCTTCCAAGTTTACTCATATAAGATAACTTTCGGTTTATAAAGTCTGGCTGATGGGAAAACTATTAAGTTTCATCGAAAAAATGAAGAAAATATGCACAAAATCGATGAAATTATTTCCAAATACGCTCCCAAGTAAGCGGCCATCTTGAATCCAGCGACTGAAAGTAATGACGTAATGTTTGACAAAAAAATGACGTAGGTCATTTTGTGACCAACAATCCGCGATGAAGCCGAAACCTATAGTCGCTGGAGGCACAGAGTGCCCCAGCGAC